TTTAGGTTGAAAATCTTCCAAGATCATGGAGTCCAACCAATCACCTCTTTGTGAACTAGTCCATAACATGAAGTGCCACCACCAGTCGTTTCTTGAACATCTCAAGAGATGGTGACTCAATCATCTTCTTCACAAAGTCTCCTGAGGATTCCCCAGAAAATTCCCAATGCTGACTCAAAAGAAATTAAGTATTTCAAGACACACCACTTGCATTAGGTTTGGGTAAAAAGAGATCTAAATCACAACTGCAATTCCTTTGGGAGTTTCATCTGGGGGACTTGGGCTAATACAATTAAATGCTAGTCACATGAAAAGAACATGGAGAGTAGAATCATCAAAAACTTTTACCATTCGTTGGAATTCAGAGGAGCCAGTTCCCTCTAGCTGCAGTCATTTTTCATAAAGGAAGGTTAGTCCTGCTGCTGCATCTGCAACACTTGCAGAAGTGGATGGTAGAGGATTAGTAGCATGCTTCTGTGCTGCTAATGTGAAATTAGTTCTTGCACTACTCTGCATTTGTTTCTCAATCTGTACAATATGAACTTCACTAAATCACAGGAATCACTGTTACCCCAAATTTGCAGTGTAAATAAATATTTACAGAGCTAATTTATCTTGCCATAAACTGTATAATTGCAATACATATTTTCCAGTGTTCCAGCAGAGTAACATCCAAGCAAGGTCTTGGGGTCATGCTCTTTGCTGTAACTCTGACTTGCTGTGTCACTGGGGGGTAATCTTTTAACCTTTCTGTGCTGTGTTTAATCTAAATGTAAAATGAACTGATATTATAAACTTCCCTGAAGTGTTTCCATCCCAAGTGTGTTGTAAGGCTTAATTAATTAGTGTCTGTGAGGCACTTCATACGAAAGTTCTTCACGTGAAAGACAGTGTATACCAAGGTACTATGATTGCTTATCATGTTTATTAATGCTTAATAGAACTAGAAAATAATTTTCAAAATATATTTTCCATGTATTTTAGAATCTGGTTAGGCAGAATTATTATAGGGAAATTTATGACTGCAAGACTAATTTATACATTTTCAGACCCCTGTCTCAGCTCTGGAAGATCTCCTTGCACTTGGCTCCTCAACAGGCTCTCACAGATCTTCTGTGCACTGAAAATCCCCTAGCACTCGAGCCTGAATGGAGTCAGGAGGCTGCCTATTTCCAGATCTCAAGGCATTCTCACAGGAAACTGTCTAGGTCACCTAGAGAGGTGCTAATGCCAAGGGGTTTTACTGTTTAAGGGCAGCTTTTCTAGAAAGAAGGATGTTTTGAATTCAGTTGTGTTTCAGAGTATGGAGATGGACTGCTGCAGCATGTACCATTCAGACATTGGAAAGGATTAAACATAATAATAAAAAACAGCTACTGCCAGGGACTAGATGATCTTTAAGGTTCCATCCAACCCAAGACATTCTGTGATGATTCTATGAGTATTCTGGTCCAGCTTTCATGATTCTTTCTCTATGCTTAGATGTTTTCTTATGTCATTGCTGGTAATCTATTTGCCTCCCCAGTCAGTCACTGAGTTAACATGGCTTTTTGTCTCTGGCTGGCAGAGATGGTCTGGACTGTCCACCAGAGAAAGATTTTACTGTCCATCAGAGAAATATTTTGTATCCTTACAGAAAAACTCCATGGTATATTTTTATGAATGACTGCACAAAATCTACCACAATTTATAAGAGGTTCATAGGCTCCCTCAAATCATCTCAGCCTTATCATAATGTCTTCAGATAGCAGATACACAAAACTTCCATTACTGAGCTTTCTGTTCCCTAATCTTTTCTATGGATCATATAATTTTATTCAGGGCAGTAAACAAAGTTAGAAGAACTAAGAATATTAAAGTACATAAAATTAGGTCATAAACTATGTAGTACCACAATACCAGGCTGCAGTTCTACTCACTGAAGAATCAGAGATTTAAACTTGCAATAATTCTGTTCTGTTGTATATTGTGATTTAAAAAATGTTTTGTGCATTAAATATTCACAGATACCTGTAGACATATTCTAGAGCTATAGAAAAATTTAATGAGTTTATGCATCTTTACAAGAATTGTAATACATACAATACTCCCTTTTGTCTAAATGATGTCATTACATTAAGCATTTAAGAAAAAGATAACAGCACCGAGGAAAGAAAAAAAAACTATGTTCAAATTTCAGTTGTTCTGAACAAAAATATTTGATCTCACAAATATGGAGTTATAGAACATCTCAATGGCTTCGTTCTTTTATTTTGGAATAAATGAGACCTCAAATGTGAGCAAATGTTTAGTCCATAGTAATTAGGTCAGGTGAGATTTGGAAGAAATGGAAAGCCTCCTAGAACTATCACCATTGTGTCTATATCTAAAATTGATACGACTTTGGTCCAACAAGTTAATGAGCATTTCAGCTATTACTTCATTATGAACAAACTCATTATTTTCAATTATATATGATTAGATTAAAATCTCCCCAAAATTATCTGCAATTATCAGTAAATTATTAATGTGACAAATACTTTCAAACTGTTTTAGGCAAGCTAATACTACTTGTTTTCATATAGCATTTTGCTAAGATTTTAATGGTGATATTTCTTTGTGTTTTCACCAGAATAGGATACATATTTTCTGTGTTAAAAGGACTATGTATCTGCAGTCATTGAACAAACAGTACCAACAACTGAGCCCCCACGGAATACACAGATGTGCAGACTGTCCAATGGACACTGTCACAAGTTGGCAGGAAGTGATGTGCCAGTGCCTGAGTCATGAAAGAAGCCAGGAATCCTGGTCTGCAATTCCTTCTCCAAGCACACACACAACTAATCCTGGCAAATCCTTAAACGCCTTTTGAAGGTCACTGCTTTTAATGTCACCCAATTATTGTATTAATATGGGTTTATTTATATGATTGCTTCCTTTGTGGTATTCAAAACTAGCCTAGATTAAACACAAGAATTTATATAGTAGTTAAATGTACAGCATTAGCATTGAATGACCTATGAATATGACATTTTTAAATGGGAGTACACAATCACATTTCAGAGCTGCTAGAAATATTACAGTAGCCCCTATAGAAAGGGAAAAGCAGCATTCTGTTAAGTTTAAGTTTTCAATTGCATATTTTGTGTTTGAGAAATCTGTAAAATGAAAGGGTTTCCCCTTCCATGGGATAACAATCTGACCTCCTGTGACCATCCAAACTCCTGCTCTGTACTGCAATATTTCACATCAATAATTTCACAATATTCCACAGAGGAGGCATTAAAGACCTTCTGATCCCTGTGTCAAATGAAAACGCTTGTGTTATATTCTGGGCTCCTGTTCCTTAGGATAAACTGATTAATTCCCATGCTTCAATTGCAAAAAAAAGGTTCGCTCAAAACTCAAGATGAGAATTGACATTAATAGAAAATATATTTTGCCATGAAAGTGGATAGTATGAATCAGCTGACATTCTGTAAGTGCTCTGAGATGTTCAAATGGAAGTTGCCAGCACTAATACCAAGTATGAGCTGTATTACTATTAATGCAATCTAACAAAAATTGCTGTTTTAAGAAAGGGGTTTTGCTATTTTTACAGTTAAGCCACTACTGCAATTGGCTAGGAGAGACAAAGCTAATGGTATAACAAATGATTCAAAGAATTACTAGAAAATAATGCCACTGAGAGGTCTAGAGGACATCTTTAACCATAAGAGATCCACCTACACACAATTTCTAAATATTTATAACAACACAAGAAGGAAATTAATTCAATGCAAATCCCTGCAGAATACTTATTTTGCTGGAAATTATTATATTGGAATAAGAAATTCTAATTTACTTATGTGAATATATGAAAATTAAAGCATTAATTATTCATACAGATAAAATAAGAAAATTAATATAAGCTTTATATTACAGTTCCAGTATAATATAACCTGATCCCCTCCTTCATGGACATGAAAGCTGCTGCTTTACCAGCTGTGCAAAAGTGACACACAAAAGTTGGATATTTTCATGATGTGAAAATTTTCTCAACAATACAGGATTTGGATACAAAGTTTAAAGAGTCCAAGCCTGTTCAATTCATTTTGTATTTACTAATGTTCAAAGCAAACTGCAACCCTTTCTTCTAGTTCTTATCTTATCCTGCTAGTTCAAGGTTTATTTGAAAAGACTGACCCCAAACATGCCACTTCAGAAGAAATCAAGATTTACAATATTACCAAAGCTTGAGGTCTTTCCACAGCCTTCAGCAGCATTTCTTGTTAAGCTGAAGCATCTGGTAAGTCTGTAATTGCATGTGAATTTACAAGTTTAAAAGGAAAAAAGAAAACTAGGGGAGGGGAAGGGAAGGGGAGGGGAGGGGAGGGGAGATACAGAACAAAGTCACTAAGGATGCCCTAAAAACAAATCTCTTTGCCAAAATGTCTGTGGCTCAAGTCTCTGCAATATCAGCTGTGTTTTAGAGATCTGACTCCTGTGGCAAGCTGTGCAGCAAGTCTGCATGTGAGACCAAATTTTCAGAGTGGTGGTTCTCTATTCCCTTTAAGCCATGTGGAAGGAAAAGAGGACTGAATGAATGGTTTGGGAATATCATGTCCCATGAAGACTTCTACCACTCACAACTGCTGTCACATTTGTATGTTATTTCCAACACCTTTACATTTGCTCTATTAACAGGGTGAAGTACAATTTTAATAAGGGTGACTCAGGCAGCACATTCAGCATTGGAGTTGTTATTGTCTTAAATGGTTGATGGCTAAGATCTGCCTGGTTCTGTTACAGCAGCTGCTTTCAGCTGGAAAGATTACCAACAATGACTGCAATGAGAAGACATCACTGTACAGACTGGTCACTCCCTCTTGAATCTGCAAATGCTGGCCAGCACTGCTATCATGAGTGATGCTCCATCACAGCTCTGCTGCCTCCCATCTGCTATAAATACTACATAGCAGCATTAGCATGAAGCTTCCTCAGCAGTCACCTTAAAGTTTTCCATTTTTTTTTTTTTTTCATACTAGATAATTTAATTTTTTCCAGTGGACAGATGTAGACTTTCACAAAGGATTAGTAGTAAGAGCAGGTTTCCTTTTCTAGATTGGGTTGGCCATCCCAATAGCATTGTTGTTTAAGCTGGCTCCAGTAACCTCTGCTTTTCTTCCTGTTCTTGAATTATCCTTCAGGTAACAGTGCTAAAAACATTTATGTAATCAAGTTGCAAAGAAGCAGGAAGTCTGGTCCAGCTGATAGGTAACCTAGGAGAAAATAATCATTATACTCTTACTAGTGTTACTCTTTTGCAAGTGAAATCAGTTTTCCAGCCCGGGTCACAGAATGGCTGCCCAAACACATATGCAGAACCAGCACAGGGCCAGTAGCACACAGCAGATTAATAAACCAGAGCTATGGCTGAAAAGCAGTTCATTAGACTGCCCTCTTGCTTGCAAGGTTGCAATCAGGAAGTCACAGTGTACACATTAATACAATGCCTTCTAACATGGAATAGTCAAAATCTCAAGGAAAAAATATCCAGTTGCACTTTTTAACATTCATACCATATGCATCCATAGCATTGATGCTTGAGACAACACAGAAAACAATATGCATGACTTAAACACTTGTTATTCACTGTGTACTCCCTTCTTAGTAAGAAAAAAGAGTGGGGAGAGAGAGTAAAAAAAAGAAATAATCTTACTAGCTTTTGTTCTGTTTTGTTTGCAGGGGATTATAAAATGATTTTACCCTATGCAATGGGGATTTCATCTCAGGCAGCTGTACATTTTCACCTGCATTAAAACATTAATGGGCTCTTAACAATTTAAGACCAGAATTCTGGTCCCTCTGTAAATACAGGGAATTAAATTCTATTCTGTTGTGGTGCTGCATGCTGAGTAAATCTCCAAGTAGTTGAGCTGTTAATTTTTTTGTTTTGTATATCTTGCCTCTACTAAACCAATTTTTTCAATCATGCTGACCAGTCACCTGCTGCCTGCACTCTGAAGTGTCTTGCTTGCCTTGGATGGTGATCCCTCTGTTGCACTTTGCTCATAGTATTTCTAACAGTGGGGTACATTTCCCTTTGTGGTATTTTTACTTGCTTCTAGAAAGACATTTGAAATCACTGGATGAACATTTTCCAGCTTTCTGCCAGGTTCCCTCCAGCCCTCTTGTACTCCAAGATGAAAAGGAACTTATTGGGAAAACCTTATAAAATTGGATAGAGACAAAACACTCCCTCTGACCTAACCTTTGAATTTTAAAAGACATAGTGCTACCTGCTATGACATTTTTTTTTCAAATGCACTTTAGACCAGACCATGAAAAGAAATATATGTTTGTACCAGTGCATTTGAGACAGTTCCTTATTTTGAGCCAGAAACATTTCCATGCAAGTGAGCAGAGCTAAATGAAATTAAAACTAGGCTAACAGGGTGAAATTATCCTGAGAAAAGCAGTGACAAAAATACAAGGGTAAGCCTTCTCTCATCTCCTACGTTCTTATAGAGCTCTTGACACCACCAATGACTTTAGCAAAATGTCACTGTGACAAGAAAGAAAATAAAAACAAGGTAATTTTCACCCAAGTTCTTGAAACTCAACCACTCACACAAGTATCTGAGCACTGAGAAGGATGTGATTCACAAAAGTTATACAGCTATAGAAGTGACAAGTGTCTGTAATTGGTGGCATCCCTCACTGGTCATCAAATGGACAAAATTCATTGTATTCCCCCAGAAAATACTAAAACTGAGTAACCAAAGTACAAGATAAGTAACTGGCATTATTTTGGTCTCTGAAATAGCTAAAAAACTTTTTAAAGCTCAAGTTTTATACAAGGTTTGCTTAATAAAGGAGGCATAACCATCACTATCTCACACAAACAGCCCAGTACTTAAATCTTTTACTTGTCAGACTACAGCTTTTCTCAGTAGTTAAAACACTTTCATAAGCCTATCCCTGTTTTCTAAGCATGCATTTAGCCACAGATTTCCAGGTATTACACATAAAGTTCAGTTCACACATAAATATGTAATTTTCTAGAAATTCAGTCCTACTACAGACCAGTGCCCCACTTCTGCTGATCTCTCCATTCATCACTTTCTTGCATCAGGTCTATTTATGATTCATTGCTAGAAACTCATCAGTATCCTCTCCTTAAAATTGTCTACTGTATATGATTAGACCTTTTTTGAGGAATTCACCCTGTAATGTTGTGCTGAACTTTATCAAAGTCTAGCTCAGGTATAGCTGATCAATCAGTGAAGCTGCTGCTGTTCTACCATCCCATTGTACCCCTTGCAAGGATACAACTTGATAAAGCTTCCATTAGTCTAATCTTTCAATGCTCAGTGCTAAAAACACTATGTCGTTCCTCTCCTTTACATACCCTTGGACAACTTCAAACAAAGTCTCTCCCTACATGATCTGTCCATCTGTACATTTACTCAATAATGCATATAAATGTGTGGGGTCTCCAGATAATGGTTTTTCACATCTAATTTCTAGGGAATGTCAATTTCCATCAAGTGATACACAAACTGCATGTTAATCAAATTCCATGTCTATAGGGGCTTGAATGTACCTATCTCATGAATATGCAGGCACATTTCTTATCAGATAGGGAGTGTGTTTATGTGTATATATTTTCTTCCTCCTTGTTCTTTTTTGCATAAAGTAGATGAGATCCAGTGTTTTCCAGAGCAGACATTTTTTTTCCAAGGTACAACAGCAGCCTAGAGCTAGATGATAAAACTTTGCCTGTCATCCATATAAAGCAACTTCTGTTTGAGTGCTCTGGATTTCATGTTTTTGTGTTGCACAAGCATAAAGCTGAAATCCCAGGCAGGGTGATAAATGTTAACAATTTATTCAGGGTTTGAAAACACTGAGAATCAGCTCTCTCCCTTGGACTGCTTTCATTCAGACATTTAAGACTAGAAATGGCTATCAGAACCTTGTCTAACCTTCTGTGTAATACATGCCCTAAAATTTTACCATCACCTGTGTACTGAGTAGGCTTTTTTTTTCTTTTTCACTGAAATATATGTTTTGTATTGCTCTATCTTTATTCAGAGGCTTCAAGAAATAAGGACTCCATATCCCTTAATATTTCTTCCAATGGTTAATCAATCTCACTCTTAGAAATGAGGTACTGATTCTTAATTTTAATTTCTTTAGATGAAAAATCCAGCTATTCATTTTCTTCATGTCTTTCCCTGCTAGATTAATGAGGACATTATTATTTAGTAATTATGACTTTTGAAAGTACTGATGTCTTTCAATAAAGTCTCTTCTCAGTCTATTTTTGGTTCAGCTAAACAGATCATGCTCTTCAGGCACTTTCTGTAATGAATTTGCCATTTGTTGTGGTAAAGACTTTTCTCTGCATTGTTTAAACTAGGGAATTAATCCTTTAAAAACAGTATTCTTGTAACATACTAATGATACAAACCGTATGTGTCCTGCTACCTCAGACATCCACAATTAAGTTCATTCTCCACAGACCTGAGAAAGCAGAACTTGCAGATCTATGCATGATTTTTCAGTTTTCAACACTGTTAAGACATTCATATTGTACTATGCATTCATTACATAAATCACACCTGACTGTAGATAGTGAAGGAGAAAAGAATTAAGTATCTTTTCCAAGAGTCAAAGCTATGGAGAAATAGGCTCAGGACAGTAGGGCATTCAGTAATGTAAGCTGCCTGCCTTTCCCATACCCCATCTGCTCTTTCAATAAATCCTTTAAATGCACTTAGTGATACAAAACATTCTGGAATCTGAAGGGTTCTTCTGATATTTAGCATCCATAGACATGGTGCAAAAGGGGCCATATTTCCATGAAATCTGCTAGGTATAATTTAGACAATTTGCAAGAAGAATAATTCAAATCATTATTTATGATGAATAAATGTGTGGGGAAATCCTGCCTGTAACAGAAACTGAATGAAACCACAAGTAATTTTGGATCTTAGATTTCTGCAAATGGCTTACCCTGTCACTGAGCTTTTAAAGTAGTGAATTTGCTGTTTCCCACACTTTCTACTTTTTTCAGTGGCAAACTGACAGTACCATATTTAAAGGTGACACTCACACATTCACTATTGGCATGGCATATAACCTAGCTGTCAAAAAATGTGGTCAACTAATAATCAGCATAGAAATGTTTCTCATTAGATGGGTATTTTTTCCTACCAGAAAAGAAAATCCTCACTTACAAGAGAATTTTTTTTCTTTTTAATTTTGTTGGTTGAAGCCAAACTCTATGGCTAGAAAGAAAGAACAAAATGAAATTCCTGTAAAGACCTTAGCCAATAAAGTGGTTTAGATTTGATCTGCCCTGGCCCAAAGAAATTCCATAATGGATAACTAAGATAAGTGTTGTGACAGCAAACCTGACCTTAGGTTTCATCTCAGCATGCCATATTTTGTTAAGAAGGCTGGGAGACACTTTTGCTTATCTGTTATTTTCTTTAATCAGGGTCTTAATTCTTGACAGAGAGTGCTCAAAAGGACCCTAATGCTACACTACAGCTCATACAAGATACACTTTTAGCTTGTGAGGGCTTTGAGTCCTGTCCTTTGGTACTCTCCTTTGCCAGATTCAGATTCCAAAGAGTGGTCATATGGTTAAATCCTTTTTCCTCTGATGCTTTTGGACAGGTGAAAAGCTTGGTTTCTTTCCACAGCAATCACATTGTTTTCTTCTCCTTTTTCAAACTTTGTACTGTATAAGCATGTCTAGTTTCATTGGCTTTGCACTATGCAGGACTACTATCATCAAAAGGATGAGTTGTAAAATAAGTCTTCATCTCACTAGGTGAATTTATTGCTATCATAAACATAAAGGCCCCCAAGGTTCATTGCATCCAATGTACTGAAGACACAGAGTGCAAGCTCGGGGAATTTACTGTAGTACACCACTGTGTCATTGTACCTACCTGAAAACTTGGCTCAGCTGACATCTGAAAGCATTATTAAAGAAAATGCAACCTAAGGGGAAAGAACCAGGGATGTCTGATTTGTCAAAAGAAGAATGTACATTATTATGCAGTCAGAAAACAACTAATAAGCCCAAGTGAAGATGGTAGCTGAGCTTTATTAATGCTTTCATAAATAATTTGCTGAAACAGAGCCCTTTTACGAGCTGCCTACTTATTTATTTGGTTTGGGTGTTTGCTCCTTATGGGAAGTAATACCATTCAAGCTGGAATTTGAAAATGGTTTCAAAGTTAGTTTTTTAAAGGTGGTTATTCTGAAACTTTCATGAATGTTTTGTCTGGTGAGTCCAAGAGAAGCCAGCAGGAAACCCCAGATTGCCTAAAGCAAGAGAAAGAGATGGAGAGCAGATTGTGTTCAGGAAACCTCCCTGTCTGACCATCTGGGAGCCGGAGTGTGACTCTGGCAGTCACACTCACAACACCTGAGCTGGGACTAAAATCCCAGCAACAGCCACAACACCTCACACTCATACAATGAGTCAGATCAGCTTTCCTTACTCACTCGACCTCAGGTTTCCCAGACCAGAGCCTCACATATCTCAGTCCTTAAAATAACTTCATCATGGTGCAACCACAAAGTGACAGCTCAAGCTAGGTACCTCTGAGGAGGGACCCCAAACAAAGGAAGCCCTGGCTTTTTATACCCTCACAGACTGTGCACACAAAAGTCTGGGGACATCAGCTCCATGAGTGTCTGGTGACCTGGCTGGCCAGGGGTCCCTGGGCCCCTTGTTATGCAGAGGGTCAGCACCAGTTCATGGCCTCTCGCCTCAACTCCCACCACCCAGAGCTCAAGTGCAGCTCACACTGCAGCTGCAAACCCAAATACCTGCGCTGGATGGATTCCTCAACAGACTGCATCAGGTGAGGAAACAGAAGGTGCTAAGAAGCTTTAGGATGTTCAGCAAACAATCTTTGCCAGACATGTTGCAAGACTGGAGGTGCTTGCTGAGTAAAACATGTTTGCTTGCATTATGAACAGATTGCTCTGCTCATAATGTAGGTCACTGGAGGACCAAACAGAAGACAAGAACTAAGTATGCAACCTGCTCTTGAGTCCCAGAAACAATTCCAGCCCTGAAGATACTGCAGCCTAAAGGAAATGGGAAGGAGTTTAAGGGAAAGAGGTAGACATAGTAAAGTGAGGGTCCCATAGTTGTACAAGAGGCCAGTGGTAGAGCTCAAAAAAAAAAGACAAATAAAATCAACCTGCCTGCTGCCTGTACAACACAACACTATCTTCTAGATCAGCAACAGTATCAGTTGAAGGAGTAATCCCCAGTTTTAGGATTCAGCCCATCTAATTGAAAGGCCTACTTCTGAAATTGTTGGCTATATATGTCTTTATGATGAACAGACAATCATCAACAGAACACCTCCTAGGTTTTTCATTTATATCTGTTTCTAGGAGAAAACACAACATAGATGTCTCCAGGGTTTTGTAAATGCAACAAGATGAGACCTACCCAGTATAATGAGGACAAGCATTACCGGAATCCTTTGATTCAATTTGTGGTTGAACATGAAGAAAAAACACAGAATTTAAAAAAGGCAGAGAGAAAATGCTTTAAAGTAAAAACAAAGTATTCTGCTGACAGCAACTGTAACTGTGCAGGCCATCCAGAGGAAATTTCTAATTCTCAATGGTTTCATGTGATCATGTGTACTATCAACAAAGGAAAAATAAGGATTTTCAGTGATATTCCTGGGAAACTTCCCTGATGATCCTCATGTAAACACAGAACAGTATATTCTCAAAATAAACATACAACTCAAAATACTGATCATACTACTTGAGAGCACAGCTTTAAAAACCTTTGTGTTCTAGACATTTCTGGCATGAGAGACTTCTGGGGAGAGACTTTGCCAATTGTTTCAAACTTGTTGCAGAAACATAGCCTAGGCAGAGACATAATTGTATCCTGTGTATATATGAGGAAATACTTTCCTTTTTCTAATACATCCTCTTCCAGTGTTAATACATATAAATACATATTAGAAGTTTAAATCTCTTTTTTAAAAATTACACAATTTACAACCCTGAACATATTGGTTTATTTGTCCTCAAGACAACTTTCTCCTATTTTCCCCCCTCCATCCATTTCTAAACAAGGAAGCCTTCTAACAAAGATTTCTACATAATTCCAAATCTTAAAATCCATTTTCAAGTAAAACAAACAGAGATGTTCAAATAGAGTTCAAAATTCATAGATTCCTTATGCTAAGCCAGTCAATACATGAAACACATTGCTGGAGTCATGCTACAGGGGTGAACTTCTGCAGAAAGCACGTGTGAGTGGTGTTACTTGATGGAAGGACTACATTATGTCTTTCCATCATTCCTTAGCTATAAAAGATGATCTCAGCTGTCAATGAAAGTCCCACAGCTGTAGCAGGAAACCTTCATCCATCCGCTGCAAAATGTCTATGTGTTTCCAGGGAAAAAGAAGCCGTGCACATTGTTCAGCATCTCACTGAGGCTGAGGAATGGGCAGGAAGCACAAGAAACACTCCTGGGAGCTGTGAGAGGTCTGGTTACCTGGCCATCTCTTTCCAGAGCAGAAACAAACTAGAGTGATTTCAAGCAGACATAAATGATAAAACACTCAAAAAGCTCCACTTGTTAAAGCTATATCTTCACAAGTTACTTTAATTTGGTGTGAGAGTAACTACTGCAGAAGTAGCCTTGTAAAACCCAGAGAGAATACAAAGTATGTGTTGTCAGCTGAATTTTCATTGCTACTTTGATGATAAATCAGAGGGAGCCTGTATCAATTCAGCTGAATATGTCACAAACCAGCAGGACTGAGATTACCATTGTGCTCTCATGCTGCAGATCAGACATCAAATTTTGTGCTTCCCCTCTCCTGCATTTGGTCAGGACAAAGACATCTCAGACTTCAGTTTGCAGGCTGGAGTGCTATAAAAATGAGGTATAATGAATACCACAAAGAAGCAGGAGAGAACAGAAAGGCAGCAAGCTGAAATTTTTCAGCATTAGTCAGTAAAAAGTAGTGATCATCTTTAGTGGCTAGAAAGGGGATACTGGAGCACCTGTCATGGCTTAGTTGTTGCAGCTTTTTCTATTAAAAATCTGTTCTTCAAAGAACTCCAAAATCTGTATGCTTTCTTAAGGTGCACCTACGTTAGTGTTTCAGCTTCAGCTCAGGCAAAACTTTGATTCAGCTCTGCCACCTTCCTGCCATCTACAACCATTTGCCTGTCACTGATCTCAGTTTTTCTGAGTGATTTTGGTGCTTGCATGCTAAATTCCTGTCAAAGGAAACCAAATGAATATCTGTGCTCCACATGTGCTTCATCATTTAATTGGGCACACAGAGCTGTGAATGACCCTATATAGGCCATGCTACAGCAAGTTTTCCCTCAGGGTTACATAGCACCCATCTACCATTGAAACATTCTTGAACCCTTAAAAGGTCCTGTGACTAACTGTTGCATTTTACAAAGGACCTAGTTCAGTTCTTCCATCTGGTACCAACTGCCAGCACTCCACTGACTATTCCAACTGATGTATCAGCTATTCCCGAAGATGAAGACACATTTTACAATTTTGCCTAGCTCTTATCTGGTCTCTGAATATTTATTTTACTCCCCTTCTCCCCTGCTTTTTTGTTTGGTTTTTTTTTTTTTTTAATTTTCTCAGCATCTTGTCACCTAGTCCTTTCTCCCAGCAGAAAACCAAAAATGTTGCAATTTGACAAAAAAAGGAAATACAAAATTTGCTTGATGACTGGGAAGATTTCCTTAGATGTTAGCATTACATGATTTCAGGCTCTTGTTGATTGCTGAGATAAACGGTGTTCAGTTCACTCACATTTGGACAACATAAAAAGAGAAGGCAGACAGTGATGCAAGGTACTTGAAGGTGGAAAAATGTGTGCCCATTTGTTGGGAGGTCTGTGCTGAAACTGCATCTCCACTGGATTTACTGTTCTCCGCTGTCACATCTGACACCATGACACCAGCACCAAGAGTGGGCCACCAGCATTTCCCATCTTTGTGCCCCCAAAATTCCAATTGCAAGGATGAAGCCCAGGTTGCTGCTTTACCCTGCCCAGCCTGCCTCAGCAGCGCCTTTAACAGCTCCCAATACCAAACAAGTTCAATGGAAAAGCAGCACTGACTTTCTGATCACGTTTAGTCCAGGCTGGGATAGAGAAAGAAGGATGATTGGGGTATCTTGTAAAATAATAGTATTGTGCTCCAAAATGCAGAGAAGTGCTATATGTCAGAAAGCAGAGTGATGGCAAGGGCTTTCATGTTTCTGAAAGCCATTGTCCCAAAGCCACATAGCAACTACCTGGGTAAGGAAATATCCGCCCACTCCCTATCCTCTTTGAATGCCAAGCTTAGTCTCAGCATCAAAAAGAGCCATGAATGTGGTGTGCCATGATAAAAGAGCCCTGCTAGACTTCCACAATAGCCTGTCTTTGTGACTGCCCTGTCCCTTGTAGGAAGCAGTGGTGAGACCACTATTAAAGGCATAGTTTATACCTCTGCATTGTTTTGTACTTAATCCCTTAGCCAGAAGAATTGAGCAGGTTTAAGGGAGCAAGAAAAGTTCTGCTTCTCCTGAATGCCTATTGTGTGCATGCAGTATGTTGACCTCTGAGCATGGCCTGCAAGCATTGTGTTTTCCCAAGCCTGTTCAGTTGTTTTTCTTGATTTTTATTTCTTCAGTTGGGTAAATATCATGTTTTCTTGAAATGGACCGCTGCTAGTTTTTTCAATCAATGGAAAAGGGATTGATTTGTCCGAAAACGCAACAATTTGCACAGTCTTTGAAAACATGAGGATGATTGTTCATATCACGAGGCAAAATACAACACAAATTATAGAAGCCTACAATGACTCTCCAAATCCCAGTTGTTTTGTTCGTGGGCCCTGACTGCAGAACAAGGTGTGATTTCCCACTCAGGATGGAGCACAGTAAGAATGCTACTGGCAATCTGGAAGACAGCAATAGTAATGTGAATGTGTGTCTATAATCAAGATATACAGGACTCACATACCCCCATGTGTCAGAACCATGGCTCTGACTGCCCTCTCCAGCTAAAATTTGCATAATTTATTACATCTTCGCTTACCAGATGTATGCTGCCACGGACAAATGAGACATTACCTAGGTACTCCCAGTAACTATTGCTACCTTCAGGAAGAGAGCTAAGATTCACTTAGAATATTTTCACTATATCTCCTGGTTGTCAAAAGTTTGTGTCTGAAAGTATCTTAACTTTAGTTTGTTTCCTGATTTACATAGGGGTAGTACTTTTCTGAATCTGACATTTTAGAAGAAGGCATATACTGCTTGGGAGCTATAATCTTACACTGATGACATTTTTCAGCAACATGTAGACAAGCACAGAAATTGCAGAAGAGGAGCTCATAACAAGCAATAACTGCACCAAGCTCTGTGCATTTCATATTATCCATATTATTAATTATCTGGATTGCTGACAGAAACTGTGGTTATATTGTAGCTACACACCCTCATAACAAAAATTTTGTGAGAAACAAAGGCAGTCCACAAACCTATGTGCAGCAGCGTCCCTGCTTCTGAAACTGTGAAAGGAAACAAAAAGGGTAGAAGAGAAATCCAGTCCTAGTAAATACTGTAAATGTTGTTCCAAATATAAAATAAATCATTTTAAAAGGTATTAAAAACTTCAGTAGATGGATTTTTGGTTTTTCATTAACTAGATTTTAAAAACAAGTGAAAGCAAAACAAAAACTAAGGATTATAAACAAAATATGAAGCTACTCAGACATTTCCATTGAGTACTGAGGATTTTGAAGTATATACATTTAGCATACATTGCAGGACAGGATTGCAGAAAAAACAATGTATAAAATGAAATGAAGAAGAATGAAAAGATTAATTTATAATTGAAGAAAGGGAAGAGAGATTTGTCAGAAACAAAAGCCAGGTGCCTGCAAGCAGCAGGGGGAAACAATAATACAAAAGAGAACTGATCGTTACTGAACAACTGGAAAAGACTTTCAATTTAATAAAGACAGCAGCACCTAGAGAACATACCAGGACATTCTGCAGCCCTATCAAGCATCTGGCAGGCAATTCCATTACATTTGAGACAGGAATCAAAGACATTACAACACTAATAAAGGTTGTTACATACATTAGGAGACAAGGGGCTAACAAAGGTTCATGTCATGCTGAGACATTTTGACAATAATTGAATTTCAGTAATCAAACCACTCTACACAAAAATAAAATGTCCAGGCAGTTTAATATCTCAGACAGAGGATCAGCACAAACTGTAGCTACATCAGTTTTTAAGGAAGAAATGCTGCCCATATAAGTGTCATGTGAAGAGGGAAAAAAGGACACTGAAAACAAGGCATAGAAAATAGGGCACATCTTTTTCCATGCATGGTGATCTGTGCCCCACAGGGAAGCTGTCTTACTACACTGGATCCTCTTCTTCATTCCCCTCCTTAAAGTCCACCCTGCAAGCGTCCTCTCACCTTGACTATAGTGAAGCAGAGTCTGCCTTAAAGGAATAAAGATTAGCAGAAAAGTCAGACTATTTGAACTATTCAGCATGCAAAATTGGCTTCCTAACAAATAGTTCTCACCTGTGAGCTCCAATGAATTATTACAGCATTTAAGAACAAGAGAGACAAAGTGTATTTTTAGCATCAATGTACGAAGAGTAAGACACAAGCCATTCATTGATAAGCAAGACAGAAAGGCTGTACCAGAGTTGTGGTGCTGCAAGATGTAGTGTTGTTTTGCCAAGCTTTCTGCTCATTTTCCCCTCTACTGTCTCTGATTCAATAGCATTATCTAGTCAATGCATGCAATTCATATTAGAAGTATAAAGTTTTATCCACTGTACATTCTGCTTGCACATGTATAGCCTGTAATTGAAAACAGGACAGCTGAAGCATTTGAAAAGCTCAGAAAACAGAGCTAGCTGTGGCTTGTGAGGCTGGAGCTGGTGAGAAATGTGTTCCAATATGTATTTTAAACATTAGAAAACATTTTTATCCTATTCCAGTAAAAAGCAAGCAGTTATCCATTTCCTCTCTCCCATGTTCAAGGCCATTCTTATGAGGGGAGCAATGAAAATGCAGCAGGAATGACATGCCTAGCAAGGTACTCACATGATAGAGCAGCCTGTATTACTGAACAGGGTAGATGCTTTTTGCAGAATCCCTTCCCAACATTTTTCCAAATCAAGCAGTGAAGTTGGCATGTCCCTTCTTCAGGCAGCCTGGGGTTCCTGTGGTATATATACAATAACACTGCCTTTCTTCTAATGAACAAACACACACACAAAAACAAACAAACAAACAAACAAACAAACAAACACCTTTTTTTTTTCAGGAACTCTGTGTATTCTTGGATCCAAAACAGAATTGTTTGTAATCAGTCCATGGCAAGCTAGTGGTGCATTTATTTGCTATTGGACTTGGGAGCAAGCCCAAGGTTCATGAAGAGAAGAATTCAGTAAAATTCCTGATTTAAGCTAGGGAAGAACAAACGAAGGTTTAGTCGCTAACATGAACTTTCCACTCCTTAAATAAGCTGAGACTAGAAATGTCTCAACAAGCAATAATTTCTCCACAAGCCTTTCTGCATTTGCCCATTAGCTATTACCCAGAAATATGACTAATCTTTAAGGTCTGATTTTTCATTTAAAAACTGAATATAAAATCTTCTAATGAGTTTCCAATTTCATTTTTACATACTTCTACTATCAATTCAGTATTGTTTACTATCATTAGTCTCCTTTGACAGCTCTGAGCAGTGTTTAAGGCTTGTTAAAGAAAGCTTACTATGCTGAACAAGAAAGTCAACAAAATCTGCCATATAAACAAGTGTGAACAACAGCAGCACTTTGCAGTGAACATTGCCACTCATTGGGAATAATCTTTTACCATGGAGATAAGAAATTCACCTCTACTGTATTGAACAAATTTGTGAAATACTCACATACTCCTGTAACTGATATAGTGATACACTCATCCTTCACTGCTTGGAAAAAAAAAAAATGGTTATTGAAACAGGCATCCTCCTTCTTTGTTTTGTTTCCAAGCATCAGTAACACAAAACTTCTGCTCACTAGAAGATATTGGTCATACCAGCCCTGATGCGACAGCAAACTGTATTGCTTTCCGTAAAGCACCCCTAAACATCAGTACAAATTTAATTCATCTTGTCACAGATTTAAGTAGTTGAAGGCTTCAGAAACAGATCTACATTTGACAGTACATCCATGTAAACCCAAACTGCTTTATAACCATTTTCTGAGTGATGCAAAACCAATGAAATGTGCCTCATTAGCAGCCACTCTCACCTCAAAGAAACACCAGGTTGGAAATGGCTCTGCGACCTTTCATTGCAATTGGCATTTTGCTTATAAAGAGTATAGAAAGTGAAACAGAAGTTGACCTTTCTGTTTGGCATTAAGTTCTCAGCTGGGCATTCTGCTAAATGGCATTCTAATGGTTGATGCAATCCTTTTATCAGCCAACTAGCTGTGGTTCTGATTTAAGCCACCTCTTTCATACAGGTCACTGAAAGGCTGTCATGTAGCAACATTAGGTTACAAAAGTAGATTCATAGACATAGAGAGTCAGGGTCTGAAGAACTTCATATCCCATTTCCAAACTAGTGGGATCACTGTGACACTAAATATTTCACATATGGCAGATATATGATATAGCAGAAAGCCAAAAAAAAAAAAAAAGCAGCAATTGAGGAATCTTAGCAAAACCACAGAAGTGCCACTTTTAATAAACCTGACTGTTTTATCAAAGCTAGAATTGCGAAAGAAACTCTCTGTGACAAATTAAATGCTTTTAATGCATAAGGACATTTCTGTCCTTACAAACTACTTCAATAAGGTAATTTTACAGACTACTTTCGCTTTTCATCTTTGTGACTCTGGGCAAATTATGGCAGGCAACATGAGAGAAAAGAAATTTTGTGATCCTATTTGTGATAGAACACATTGCCTGAAGATATCACTGTTGAGCTCTGTTTAGCAATTTAAAGTGGATAAACCACCCACAGAAGAGCTCACCTAACCCTGTGTAACAGTAAGGAAAATAAGAAAACGTCTCCTTACAATCACGTTTCAGGAAAAAATTAATAGAAACTTCAATAGATTTATTAAGTGAAACAAGACTTGTTAATATATGACATTAAACCTGCTACTTCAGGGTTTGTGAAACCATCAGTCTTTTTCACACATCCTAAAATATCACCTCCTAAAGATAAACCAAGGGACAAACTTTATGTTTCTGAATCTCTGGCAAAGCTCCCATCAAATGAGAAATGCATACAATATTCTGTCTTTATAGGTTTCACTATGTTAAATTAAATATTTGGCCATGGGACAACTGAAGTCTCTATTTTTCCATTAAAAGGGTAGCTTGATGAGTTTTTCTCCCTTTTGCAAAGGCTAGGAGCTTTGAATCTGAGCACACTTCAATTTTATAACTATTAGAAGCCCAGAAGCCAGCATAATATCAGGAAGAATATTTTTTTTCCAGCAAACCTCTCTCTCTTTTGACATTCACATTTGCTTTTGTTTTCACACTTTTCAAGAATGGCCTTGAAAGCTCTCTCAAGTGTCTCTGGGGCAAAATGACACATTTGTCTGAAATTCCTTAAACTCAGATTTGAAGACCTGACTGCTCCTTTGGGGCTAGCAGAATCATTCTTCATTTCACTGTATGAACTGATTTTCACTACAAATACCAGCACACATTGGAAGAAGACAGCAAAGGGAATGGTTGAGGACAACAAAATAAGAAGCAACAGAATGCACAGAGGTGATGCAGGGCTTGGTGTGAATCAGCAACTGAAAAACAGATACAACATACTATCTGAAAAAGAATTTTTAAAAAGATATGTGTCAGAATTCAGGTTTTATCTTTCTTATCTTTTCATGGCTGATTCTCATTACTTGAGTTACCATGACTTCAATATGAAGCAATGAAAGATAAGCTGAAAAAATAGCATGTGTTTCCTTCTGGAGAGGAGAACAAAGCGTGAAAGAAAAACCAAAAATCGCATTGCATACAGTTATGTCCAAGCAACTCTCACAGCAATTACTGGCCGTTACCCACATAATATTCTAAAGTCTGAAGGAACATTCCTATTCTGTAAAAGGATTGTTGAGCAAATAATGCAAGGAACTCTATACAAGGGACTATGTGGTGAAAAGTCATCTTAAATACAATCAGCTGATGCTCAGCAAGATGAACAGACTTTTGCACTATCTGACTAATTCCAGACTGACAAATACAAATTGTGGCAAGGAACAAGTCAGGGTTATTATTATTTGTGTATTGTTAGAGTGACTTGGAGTGCAGCTTGGGAGCGATCACAGGCCAGGTTTTAGATTAACTGGTTCAGATGAAACCTGACTCTTTTCACAGGCTGGCAGTGGCATGGTGCTGCAGTGGTTCTGGGGAGGGTCTCAGCCTCTGTACACGTGCAGTCAGGTTTTGTTTCTTTTCTTTTTTTTGTTGACTGGAACAATAAAGAAGGCAGAATATATACTAGAAGCCTGATGGGTCCAGTAATAAACCCACAGTAATTAATGATCGGTTGTGGTCCTAGCAATGAGACCCTGACAGCTGTCAGGTTTCAGATATGTCCTATGCCTATCACGAAACTTTGTGAGACTATCTGAGGCCTGTTATGATTCTTAGTGTTGCATACACCTGGCCTTGGGAAGTCTGACAAGCCCTTTGGAATTATGCTTTATGCATTAATTAAAGAATTTTTATAGACAGGGAAACATCATCTTCTTGTGGGATTTGCATTCTTCCTGGATGTGCAGCCCTCAGCTTTATGGTGATCATGTGTCTGCAGATTCTTCCTGTGGGACACTGAGACTACCTCCAGGATCCAAATAAGGATTTTATCTATGCATCTGCTTGGAATGCTGTATGAGAGCACAAGGAGTACATAAAAAAGTATCACAGGACCTGATTCTGCAAAATCATCCATATGTGCATAAAGACACAAATACTATAAATGTCTGTTTACTTCAGAAATGCTCAGATACCAGGCTCCCATCACATGCAGGACATATGAGGATAAGCATAGTGGAAGTAAATGGATTCTAAAATTCACACTTCAGAAGACTATGGAGCAGATCTTGAAGCAAGCACATGCGTATTTTTTGAATGACTAGGGGGAAGAAAGCAGAACTGGCCTTCAGAATGAGGTAAGAGTAGGATCATTTTTCATTGGAACATATTTTGGGTCCATTTGGGACTGGCAAAGAAATCCAGTAATTCAAATCCCAGCCAAGCCATCATATCAATCAAGGGCTGAATTCTAAACTTCAGTCTTAATTCCTGCTTCAATGATGGTTGAGTGATAAAGAACAATTTGATGTACTGTAACTGTGTTAGAAACACATGCTCTAAGAAGTAGAGTTTCTCCATACTAGGACAGAGTAAGCCAACAGTTCCCTCTCATCAGTGGTCTCTCTGCATTTTGATCAGTCATTGCACGCTATTCCCAGCTTCCAATATCCTTCAGATTTTTTCCCTTTTTTTCAATTTACTTCCACTACTGCCACAATCATATTAAGGAAGTTGTTTGGCTGTTATGAACTGATGCTTGTGACTACTTTCTCTGTTCACTGTCTCCTAGGTCTCAAAACACAGAAAAGCAAGTCCTTCTATCATGCCAAGGCAGCCGTGAACTGATACAGACAACAAAATCAGCAAGGACAAACCTGAGTATCCCATCTGGAGAAGCAATCTATCTGAAGGACTTGCTACAGAACTGTTTATTCCATTGCTGGAACAAGCTATTAGTGGGGCAGGGTTCCTGGCACAGTCACAAATCCACTTAAGCTCATAATGAAGGCCACTTTTAATGTTGATTTTGTACACTGCATACCCATAAGAGCTGCCAAGAAAATGAAGATAATTTCAGTCACAAGGTTTTCAAAACTCTCCTTGCTGTTGTGAATCTGTCCATGATGAAATCAATGATGAAAAGATTAAATTGCAAGTTTTTCCAAAACTTAGCATGATACTGATGCTTATTTTAAGAATACATGGAAAATACCTATTTTAAAATAATTCCTGGAGACGGATATCTGTTTTCTCAATGCTGTTTATTCAATCAAAATGTTGCAACAACAGATTGATAATTGACACTTGAAGGTGGCCTGTGTACAGTACCTTGTGCCATATAATTATGGTTCAGATTAAACCAGTGTCCCTAGCTAATCACA